CCCCGCCCCCGGCGCATGCGAAGTACACCGTTGCCCGGCACCGCACAGAACTCGCCTGTCTTTCGGGAAGCGGCGGGTGCCAAGCTGCAAGGTTTTGTTACCCCAACGTGGTGTGCGCACCGCAGGACCGCCCTGTCTCCCTGTGGTCTCCCAAGGGTGCCCCCGGTGGAGGACTTAAATCCATTCTTTATTGTCTCCACCAGCCCCCTCAGGCCACCTTAAAAATAGGTAAATTGTCTTCATCGAGGGTGGATGTCTGAGTCTTTTGAAAGTGTGAATAAATTAAACCATCTTTAGGGAAAATGGCCATTTTTTAAAGTTTATATCACATAAACTAAATAAAAATGCTACTGGGTTTCTTATTGCTACCCAGTTTTAAAATGAGTTTTGTAAACAGCTGTCCCTTGGTTCCTACTGCAAAGGGTTCTGGAGGCGCTTCTAGTAAAGGGACCCTGAAGTCATCTGTGCCAGAGCAGGAATCCTGCGTCCATCATGTGGGTGGGTGTGTGAGCTCGGGGCCAACTTGCTCACCCTGACTTACAGCCCTGCACGTGCGCTGAGTCAATGAAACCCCAGCAAGGAGAGACACTCAACCATAGGCCTGGTCGTCTCGCCTGTCATCTCCTGACTGCCCTCTGGTTCATGGTGCACCACCACACTGGCTTTCTTCCTGTGCCTCAGTTATGTCAAACCCATTCCTGCCTTAGAGTCTTTGCATTTGCTGTTTACTCAGCCTAGATGTTCTGCCCTGTCCAATAAATCTAGCTTTTTCTTGACAACCTTGGCTTAAATGTTACTTTTTGTCAAATGACAAAACTAAAACAATTTGGTAACAAGTTCGATGTCCTGTATTCAAGGGAAAACAATCCAGTGATTGATGGAGTACAGTGTCTCCCAAGCGGTGGAGCATTCTTCCAGAGGGATGTTTGGGCAAGAGTGAGTTTTACTGAGTGCGAGAAGCAGCAACATGGAGACAGGTCATGCTGAGATTGCACATCTGACCTTATCTGGAAGGACCAGGCAACAAGGAAACAAGTATATAGCCCGGAGGTGGCTGGGCGTTTGGGGACTGGCTGACTTGATGCACTGTGTTTCTGGTCAAGGGAGCATTTATAGGAACATGAAAATTTGGTTTGCTGCTGTGGCACTATGGCCAGGAGCACATCCATCTTGGGTCTAGAAGTGTATTTCAATACTTCTCATAGAACGTTTTGTTGTCCACCCAAAATGAAGTAGTCCCCGGTTTCAATCACACTGTGTGTATTCCCTTCCTTTATGACACATTTGTTGCTATTTGCAATTATCTTCTATAATTACTGGTTTACTTGCTCCCTTCCCCCGTCACCACCACCAGAATGTGAGCTCCGTGAGGGATGGGCCTCTAGGAAGAGCTCTAGTCCACATGGTGCCTTCTGAGTCTATCACGCAGTGCCTGGCTTCTAGAAGGCACACAGTGTATTTTTACTGAATGAGTGAGGGAGCAATTCAGTCATGTCACAAATAACCAGCATATTTGTTACACTAACTTGCTTCTCCTCCTGTCCCCATGTGACACGCTGGGATGTCCAGTCTTTCCTTCCTACCCTGCTTACACTCAGGGTTGGATGAGGAAAACTCTGAAGACAACAGTTTTCTTCTTGTATCAAGTATTAGTTACCTATTGCTACAGAACAAATTAGTCCAAAAGCAAGCAGCAGAAAACAACAAAAACTAATTACCTCACAGTTTCTCTGGGTCAGAAATCTGGGAACAGTTTCACTGGATGATTCTGGCTCAGGGTCTCTGTGAGATTGCGATTAGGCTATAGACTGGGGCTAACGAATCTGCTCCCGTGCTCACTCACATGGTGTGGACAAGACTTAGCTCCTTACCTCATGGGCCTCTTGGCAGGTTTCCACAGTTTCAAACGGCAGGCGACTTTCCCCAGAATGAGCGACCTAAAAGATAGACAGAGAGAGAGAGAGAGAGAGAGCGAGAGAGAGGGAGAGAGTGCACATGCACCCAAGCTGGAAGCCACATCTTTTTATAACCTAACCTCAGAAGTGACATCCCATCACTTTTGTTGCATCCTGTTTCCTAGAAATGAGTCACTAAGTCCAACCCATACTCGAGGGGAGAGGAATTTAGCTCCATCTCTTGAAGAGAAATTTATCGAAGAATTTGTCGACGTATTGTGAGGACTGCCACATACCATGTCCTGTTTTTTTCTGTATGGAAGCCAATCTTTTTTTTTTTTTTTTGACTTACTGTTGACATTTGGAAACATCACCTCACTATCAGAAGATCTTGGTGTGATCTTTTGAACTGCAAATCTAGGTATGTCTTTAAGAAAACTTTCTTCTATTATACCCTTAGGTGTTGCTTCCATTTTATTATGTTTTTCTTCTAGAAAATTATGATGATATATTGGGTTTCCTTTGCTTTTGCTTTTACTGTCGGTATAATTATTGTTATAACCTCACTGTTTTCCATCAATTTTTCTGTTAGTTTGTTTCTTCTAGTATATTTACTATGTCCTTAACTGTGCTTTTAATTGTGTTTATTCTATATGTGTTATTTTATATACAAATAATTGTATATAGACTGTATTTGCTGCTTTTAATGTAGGTTTTTGCTCTATATTTCATTTTAAATTTTATTGTTTTATATTTTATTATTAAATATTAAATTAAGTTTAATAATTTACTTAAATTTCTGGGCTCTTCCAGCCTTCCTTCTGTGAGCTTATCATCTCCTCTTTGAAGTTTTGTCCGTTTTCCTTGAGCTTCCTGCCTTCGTTTTTTGAAAAGACAGATAATATTTTCTCTAGCTTCTTTGATGTTATGGAGAACTATTTGTGTGACTTCTGCCAATGTCTAGTCATCTTTTTTTTTTAGAGTCCATATGTAAGTGATATCATATGGTATTTTTCTTTCTCTTTCTGGCTTCCTTCACTTAGAATGACAATCTTCAGGTCCATCCATGTTGCTGCAAATGGTATTATTTTATTTTTTATGGCTGGGTAGTATTCCATTGTATATATATACCACAGCTTCTTTAACCAGCCATCTGTCGATGGACATTGAGGTTGAGGAAACTATTTTAATTAAGGTCTGAAAAGTGCAGGCCCTGGAGCCGACCGCCCGGTGCGGAGCCCGGCCCCGCTCCCTTCTGGTTGGTGGTCTGCGGCAACAGTCAGGGAGGGAGGCTGAGACCAGTCTCTGCCTCAAAGGGTTGGTGTCAACTGGAGCAGGGCAGTGCGTATAAAGTGCTCAGGACAGCATCTGGCACGGGGTCAGCACACAGTCAGGACACATAAAATCTCCAGAAAGGAGAGAGTGCCGTCCCCATCTCGCAGGTGAGCCAACCAAGGGTGAGGACAAGAACAGCGTCTGCCCAGGGCTGCATGGGTCGGGGGAGGACGGGCTTGGGTCCGAGCAGCTGCCTCCGGGCAGTGCTCCCGCGAGGGTCAGCCCTGGGACACCCTTAAGGTGTCACACACCCTTCGGCGTGTGAGCCAGGTGAGCTGTGCTTTCTGTTGCTTGCAATGAAAAGCATCTTTACAAATAAAAACATTTCAGGGCTATGATACTAGGTGCAGAAAAATCCATGACTCACACTTGCTTAATGGAGTCTATTTTTTAATCATAAAATATCCTTCTTTATCCCTTAACTCTTCAGTCCTTAGATTCGTTTTTTCCAGATATTACTGTGGCCAAATCTACTTTCTTTCGCTGGCATTTGTATACACATCACTTTCCATTCTTTCCTTTTCAGCATGGGTTTGTCTTTTTCTTCCATAGTTGTCTCTTGGGACAGGACACAGCCTAATTAATTACCTCTTATCCCTTATAAATTCTTAATTAATTGAACACAGATTGAAGAAATCAGAGGATGGAGCCAAGAAGATACTGACGCAGAAAGTAGGTTAGTGGTTGCCTCGGGCTGGGCAGCCGGGGAGACAGTAGGGAGGCGTGGGGAGTGGTGGCCACGGATAACAGGTTGTTTTTTTTTGTTTTTTCTTAGTAAGAAAAATGTTCTAACATCACGGTGGTAATGCATAACTCTGGGAACATACTAAGAGCCACTGGATTTATACTTTAAAGGGGTGCACTGCATGGTATGTGAATTCTGTCTTTTGTAAATCGTTAAAGAAAGAAGATATGAGTAAATAAAACAGGAAGCAGTTAGAAAACTGGAAAGAACCCTTAGAAATTTGAAGTATTGTTGCCAAAAACTTACTATGTATAAGAATATTGTATGTAATGTGAATGATTAGATACAAATATTATATACAAACATAACATGAATGTTATAGAATTAATGTTATCTATACATGTATTTCAAGGTATACACCTCTGTGTGTAAGAAGATTCCCCACAATATGGCGCAATAAGGTAAAGAGGCAGAAAATATGAAAGATGAACCAAAAATCAAATCAAAGCATCAGGTGGAAATGTCTGTCCAAGAGAAGCTGCAAAAACACAGAGAAATGGGGACAGATAGGAAAAAATAGTAATAATGGGAGACAAGTCCCCAGAACTGAGGCAAATGAGACTTCAGTCCAGAAGTGCCCTCCCAGCGCCTGGCAGAAATGGATCAAAAAGACTCACGTGACATGAGCACACTTCCAAATACTGAGAGTAAAGGAAATTTCCTACAGCTTCTAAGAAAGGTGTGTGCAGGGGAGATGTATTTGGTATCAGATGCCTCACCAGTAACTCTGGGAGAAAGGGGAGCATGGCCCCTAAATGTGTGAGGAATATTAACTGTGCACCTAAACACACGTAGAACAAGCCACTGTTTGAAGGTAAAATAAAGACACTTTCAGCCACGGAAGGACTCAGGAGGTGGACCTTGCCCAGAGCTTTTCTCAGGAAGGCGCCTCCACCCAGATGAGGAGCTAATCCCTGAAGACGTGCCCCAGGAGGAAAGGTGAGTCCGTCCTAAGAGGTCAGTGAATGCAAGCCCTTGTGCGAAGCCCATCTCCGCTTTCTGCCCCTCTGCCTGTCATGTGGCAGTGGTGTGGAGGGCTCAGCGGCCCAGCCTCCACAGAGGCCTGGTGCTCAGAAAGATTCCTCAGCGGGAGGCTGCTTTCCTTATCCCGAGGCCCAGAAGGCAGAGGGTGGGGAATAACCCACAGAGACATGACTGCCCAGCTGGTGATCTGGAGCAAGTCAAGGAAGGGCAGAAGAATAAAGTCAGCGGGCGTGTCAGCTGATGCTGCGTAAGGAAGCACCCCAGAGTGCAGCCGCTTCTCACAACGACCCGAGCTGGCAGGACAGTCCTGCTCGCCCGAGCTGGGCTCAGCAGGGCTTGCTGGTGTGCCAGCTGTGAGTCAGCAGCTGGCCTCGCTGATCTCCCTGAGGCTTCCTGGCACGTCTAGGGATTCAGCTGGGACGACTGGCTGACTCACCCTGCAGCAGGCTGGCCCCGAGGTCTGGAGAGACAGGAAACACACCAGGCCTCCTGAGGCCTCGGCTCAGAACCAGGACACCGTCACTTCTGCCCCGTTCTGTTGCCCAAAGGGCCAGGCTGGACTCGGGTCGGGGGGAGCACGCTCCCCACATCCTGATGCACCGAGAACATGCACAGAGTGAAGGGAAAACCTCAGCTACTCCCGCAGCCTGCCTAGCAGGGGAAAGAAAACAAGGGTTTTTGAAGGTAGCAGACAGGGCCCTCTTTTCCTAGGCAGGCTCTGCTTTCCTCTCCCCTGTGCCCTGGGCACGGACAGGCCATTTCCCAGACCAGAACCCCAGGCATTCTGAGTAGCTCAGACTTTGCTGTGTTTATTTCCCTGTTTCCTACATGGGGAGAGGCCCCTGGTCAGACGAGCGTGGGATTCAGGTCAGCACCGGAGCAGAGATGCAGGGAGGCAGTGGACGGTCAGGCTGAGGCTCTCAAGGCAAGGACGAGGCGGCCCCCATCCCCCCTGGGGTTGATCTTTCCAGAAGGCAGCTGGGGAGAGTCATGGAAATGCCTGCTCAGGCGGAAACTTAAAACTATGCAGCTGCTCCTGGTCCCTGAGTGGAGATCCCAAGCTACCTGGGAACAGAGCTGCCTCACTTTGTTCTGAGTCTCCTAAGTCTATAAATGTAAGGCAAGCCTTTTTTTTCAAGAAAGGGTGTAACAGACTTCTTTTGGCTTGGAAATGCCCCCCTCCCCAAGAGTCCTTAATATACAAAGCCAGGGAGCAGATGGTGGCAGATTTGCACAGGGGCCACCAGCCTGCCAGGAAAAGGGGGCTGGGGACTCTGAGCTCTCCTTTAATTGGTAACAGGCCCTCTTCCAAAGAGGTGTGGCCCCCCCACGAGGGCCCCGTGGGAAAGGGTGGCCGTGGCCCCAGAGGGTGATCGTCTACGAGGGAGGGGCAGAGTCAGGCTGTTGGGGGGCCTGTCTGGGCCATGCCAGCCACCCTTGGGTCACAGGGTGTGGTCATTCCTGCAGTGGTGCCAGCCAGGCAGTGCCGGCCCAGAGCAGTGGCAGGCGGATGGGGGGGAGATAGTTCCTGCAAAGCCCTTGGGATTCTCGAACCACTTGGGTGGCTGGGAAGGGCTCCAGCCTCAGACGCAGAATCTCTGTCACCTAGAGCAGGCCGGGCATTGAAGCAGATGGTGGGACAAGTGCCACACTGGCCGGTGGCTTGACTGGCTGTGCTCCCTGCCTCCACTTCCCAGGTGGAGGCCTGTGTCTCGCCCCTGGGGTCCCCAAGAGTGATTCCTCTGTCACAGGCCCTAGCCGTCCCGCAGCCTCCCCGCAGCCGAGTCCAGGGCCTGGCACCGCCGCAGGATTCCATCTGCCCAGCAGTCCCCCAGGGACGGCTCCGCGTGGCCCGCCCGGCGTCACTTCCGCGGCCGGCCACCAGATGGCAGTGGCCGCTCGGAAAGCAGGCGGCGCAGGTCGCTGTCTCTCCACGCACCTGAGTGCCTCGGGGACCCCGCGGGTGGGGCCCCGCACAGTGCCTCCCCGCCCAGGCATCCCGCTCCGGGTCTGGGTCTCCTCGGATTCACGGGGGGGGGGAGGAGAACGTGCGCGTAGTGTGGACCGGAGAGGGCGGGGCGGAAATGCCTGGGGGACGCACCGATGAACAGGAGGAGCAGGGCGTGTCCACTGTCACGCAGTGTCCCGGGTGGGCAGGCAGGCACGTGGGCAGGCATCCTGGTAGGAGGGGGCAAAGCGTGCTGCCGCTTCCCTGTATTGACTCGGTGAAAGCACAGCCCTCGGATTCTCTGAGCTACTCGGACTATTCCCATTTCACAGACAAGGACGCTGAGGCCCAGAGGGTCATGACTTGCTGGAGCCATCTTTAGTAAGTGGCCCAGTGGGATGCAGGACGGAAGTGGGAGGAGGGATGGAGCTGAGGAGGGGCAGAGACCTGCAGAGACAAAGTGAGGGAGGGGCCTGGGGGCAGGAGACGGATGCCTGGCAGGGGCAGTGTGGGACTCCTCCACAGCCCACAGCCGCGGTGGCCTGGGCAGGGAGGCCCTGTGCCCTCTGGGAGCCGGGCCCAGAGTCCAGGACCCGTCCCCTTTGTAGACACCCTACCACCTGCCCAGACTGTTAACGCGTTCTCAGAGCCCTTGCGTGCACCATCATTTGGAATGCTACACACATGCAATTTTCTTATTAATGTCTGGCATACCCCTCCCCAAGACCGGAAGCCCCAGGAGGGCAGGGAGCAGGCTGTCTGGTCACCACTGACACGTGGCTGACCCTCCTGGGAGGTAGGAGTGAAACCAAATCACAGACGGTTCCCCCCCCAGGCAAGGGTGCAGGGTGGGGGCCCTGGGGGTGCGATCTGCACAATCACCTCTTGTCTCGGCCCCTCCCGTCCCCAGCCCTGACCCCCTGACCACACACATCCTTCCAGCACCCAGTAGCTCGAGGGATGCTCGCTGCCTGTGGAATGTGTCCCGAGGACGAGAGCAAACGAGCTGACGTGGCTGAGACCAGAGTCTTTGCGCCACAGCCTTCGCTGCTTCCCAGCTGTGAGATGTCTGAGGGCTGGTGGCCGCTCCGTTTCCCAGGAAGGGCTGTCACAGGGACGTGGCCGGGAGGCGGCAGAGCTGATGTGTCCGGGAAGGGAGGCCACTCGCCAGTGTTCCCTGCCTCCCCGCAGGGACCGGCCGCAGCCTCACAAGCTGGAGCCAGCACGCTGGCCTCTGGTTTGGTTCCCGTTCACTTGCAGGAATCGTCTCACCTAGAAGAATTCACTTTCTCCCTCAACCGTACAGGTGTCACCTGCCACTTCAAGACACAGAGGAGCCATTAGTGGAGACATGACTGGTGTCTGCAAGCCCCAGGGGCCAGTTCGGGGGTAGCCGCTGGTCATTAGAGTTCCGCTGGCCCCGCTGCGGTGTTTTCTTACCTCGCAGCATTATTTGTGCTTCTTGTCCTTAAGCTGTGGTGAGCGAGAATTTTCTGAGTGGAGGGGCCAGCATGCTCTTCCCTGCCTCCGACTTTCTCCTTTGTCACAGCTCCAAGAATTAGTGCCCGAGTAAAGCCAGCCCACAGGGGCGCGTGCTCTGTGAATCTGACCCACGGAAGTAACGGGCACAAACCTTAGGCCAGAAAACCCGTCGAACAGGCCTCCATGCCACTCTCTTGTCAAGTTGTGAGGAAGGGCGTGTACAGACTCAGGGAGGAAACGCAACCAACCGGGGGCTGTGGGCGGATTTCTTAGGTCGGCAGACAAGATGTTTATGACACATGCGCGACTGAAATTCTAAGTTGCAAACATATCAAGGCTGGGCTTGGAGGCAGATTTCGAGTTTTTCCCGTTTACGAGCCTGTGAATGTGGTGCTACACTGCATTTATCCAAGTCTCAGAGAAACGGAAGACACAGAGCTTGAAGCTTATGAAATGCAGAAAGGGGAGGTCGCGGGAGTCCAAAGGCTGGAATTCAGGACTCGTCCTGCAGGAGTCGGGCTGGGGCTAGGAGTTTCTGTCCATCCTATCAAGAACCTTTGAGCCAGCCCAACCCATCCACACTGAAGTCCTCCACGGCCCAGGAAGTTCTCCAGGAGCACCAGCAGCCTTCACAGGCCCCACGGGGGCAGACTTCCTCACCTGCCTGCCAGGCTCCCCTGCGCCACGCTGGCTCTTCCGTGTTCGGCCACTTCTGCAGGTTGGAGGGACTGTCCACTTCCTGGCTTTCTCCTCCTCCTTGTCCCCCCAGGGAGGACACCTCAGTCTCATTCCCCAGTGGGGCCCCCGAGCCAAGCTGCAAAGCAGGGGTCAGCGAGCTGCCATTCTGGAGCAGTGGAATGCGTGCCTGCGGGAGGGTAAAGGAGGTGGCAGGCGACCTCCGCTCTCGGCAGACGCCGCTCCCGTGAGCCCCTCCGGTCGGTCTCCACTTCAGCACCAGTGCTGCTAACGGCTCAGACCTGCTTGCGGGTCTGTAAGATGATTCAAGAGTCTGCAGTGAGTAATGCGGCAGTCTCTCCCCCGTGTTCTCCGAGTAGTGCACTATGCAAGAGTGAGGAATCAAACTTTACAGAGGAAGCAGGACGGGAGTTCTGAATAAGCATAATTAATGGCTTCAGAGAGGTGTACAAAGATACTGTTTTTGTTAAAGAAAAAAAAGGCCATTAAAAACTTGATCGCTAAATTAGGAAAAACAGAAGCCCAATAAGTAGGCTTAAGGATGGAATATCCTCATTCTAGAAAACCTAAGTGAGGCACTGGCATGAAAGTACAAAGAAACAGAAAGCAGGAGGTAAAAGTTGCGGGGCATGGAGGACAGATAGAAAGACTGTAAAAGCCAGCAAGTAAGAGCCCTAGAAAGGCAGAACAGAGAGGCTGGAAGGGAAGAGACTTTCTAAGAAATCCTCGCCAAGCTGCATGCCCTTTCGCTTGGAGGAGACGGTTGAGAAATGCATCCAGCCGCGTGCTTCATGACGCGGGGTTTCAGGGGCACGACGCCGAGCAAGGGCGGACAGACCACAGAGCTGGACTCAGGGCGACGGGAGCTGCGCCGTGGGTCACCTATGGTGGGGGTGACGGGGAAGAACAGGCGATGTTCTGTACCGCTCTGGGTCGCATCTGCAGGGACGTGCTCACCTTGGAAAACTCCAGCAAGCGGTGCGCCTAAGACCTGGGCAGGTAAAGCACACCTGTTACTCTTCAACAAAAAAGTCACGGAACAAGAATTCTAGGGACCTGGTTAATGGAGCCGGGGGAAGTGGCACTGTGTTGTTTGACTTCTTGTGGGGGTAATTTTTTTTTAACGGAGGTACTGGGGACTGAACCCAGGACCTCGTGCATGCTAAACACATGCTCTACCACCCCACTTGTGGGGGTAACTTACTACAGACAGTGCTTTATAAATATAAATGTAAGTATACATTTTTAAAAGATGAAACAAACTTAACAAAGAATTCAATTGGTATAACAAAACGTAAGAAAAGGGGGAAAGAAACAAAAAGCACGATATACGAAACACAAATAAATGGAACAAACGGTTCTAATATCAATCATCACAACAGACATGAATGGACTGAATTCACTAATGAAAAGAAAAATCTCTGGTTGGATAAAAGTACAAACTATGTGAAACATACGGAAAAGGATACAATCCAGGAAAAATGAAAGTGAAGGAAAGAAGATGCTAATAAAACAAAAAAGCTGTTAATATTACATTCAGCTGAAATAGAATTCAAGGTCAAAGCACTTCATAATAAAAGAAAGGGCTGTGTCCTGCTGAGGAAAGGAGCGCGCCACAGGTGACCAACAGTCACTGAGCCGCACCTACTGCACTGCTTCGAAACGCGCAGCGCAGACACCTGACTGTCACAAGCAGGAGGAAAACAGAGCCTCAATGTCTTAGTGGGAGATTCTGACAAAACTTTCAGAGAAGTAAGTAAAGAGAAATTTAAAAAAAGGAATTTGAATAAAACAAGCAGTAAGCTTAATCTAATCACACATCTACTCAACTGACAGAGATTATATGTTCTTTTAACCATAAATGGAATAAACATTTGGAAAAGCCGACCTGCATGAGGCCGTAGAGGACATCTTAATAAACTCCAAAGAGCTGCTCTTGTTTAAGCTGACTGAAATGCAATAAAACGAGAAGTTAACAAAAACATTTTATTAGCTCTTGAATTACACGGAAAATAAAAACACGTAATGTACGAACTGTTTATGTCTGAACACAGAAGCATCCTATCACAGAATCTTTCTACCACAGTGAAACTCAAAGGAAGAAGTGTGACATACACATTTATCAGAAAACAAAAAAGACTGAAGGGAAGGGGAGGGTGGAGCTCTGTGGTGGAGCAGGTGCCGAGCAGGCACGAGGTCCTAGGTTCCATCCCCAGTCTCACCATTATATAAATAAATAAATAAACCTAATTACTACCCCCACAAAGAAGATTGAAAATAAATGAACTAAACTTTCAAATCAAGAAATTATTTAAAAACCATTTGAAAAATCCAAAAAAGTACAATGATGGAATTAACGTAGAAATCAAGGAAACACAAACACAATGCAGCTGATCAATGAAATAGACGTGTAAAGAGACAAAAGAGCACAGCTCAGGAGAGTGAAGCTGTACATAGGCCTTTCTCACACACACAGACGCAGAGCGCCTGGACAGAACCCGCAGCAGCAGAAGCCCGGGCCACGCGGGCAGGGCGCCCCTCGGGCCGCCCTGGGGAGCGGCGCTGCCTGCTTGTCTCCGTGTCTTCCCACCTCTCCCTCCCCAACTCTGTGATGGCTGCACGTCTGTCTGTGTCTCATCTTCTCCGGATAAATCTCTTCTGCTTATGTTCACTTGTGAGCCCTTAGCCTTTGTTCTCTAATTTGTCTATTTTTCTTTAGTTTCACTTTAAAAAATGTTTTTCTTTGTGTCTAGATGTTTCTGCAAAAGTGTCTTTTTTTCCACTTTTGTTTTTAATCTTTTTTCTCTTCTGTATCTCTCCCTTCATTGGTAAAAATATCAAAAATGAGTAAATGTTATGTTTTTATTAACAGAATCTGTTCCTTCTTAATTTTAGATGGTGATGGACAGGATATTTTTATAGTGTCACACTTTAAATTGATTGGGCTTTTCTCCTTTAAAAAATTAGCCAATTTGGCAGTATATTAAGGAATCTAAGTATGTGTTCAACTGTAGAAGAAATCCCACCAGTGTAAATCACTATTTCACTCGCGTACAAGAAAGAACACATAGCTATTTTCACAGGGAACAAAAACACTTTTGAAAATATTCAA